AGGAGGTACAGTTACTGGCAAATGCTCTGTCCTTGTGTTAGTCGGGCCCCCACGGGGGGCCCCAACCCTGCACCCTAAAACGCTAGGGCAAAGGGGCAAACATTTCGTTACCCCTCTTCCACTGAGAGAGGTAACCTCCCTTCACCCAAGAGAGGTAGAAAGCTATGCTTGCAGGGGTCCCCTGTATATCTTAGGAGTTGTGGTAGGTAGGTTCTGAAAAAAAAGGTATGTTAAAATTTATTATTATTATTATTATTATTATTATTATTATTATTATTATTATTTTAATGGGCCCAGTGCCCAAGGCTTGTATTACTCAAGGAATAGAATTCGAGGTCGGGGTTCTCACAGTCTACCCATAAGAATAGAGTGGACGAGACACACTGGCAGCCTTAGCCAACTTAGCTTATGAGATTATCATAAAAAAGTCGTTGTGCTGGAAAACGGGTCGAGCGTCCCCTGCCTCTGGCTAGCTGAGATAAAAAAATGGGGGTCTGCCTCTTCACCCATCACGCCGGATGCCAGAACTTTCACAGAAAGCTAGCAGCCCCTCCACTACCCCATGGCGTGGCTCGGAAAACCGAAAGGAGCCACTGGGGGGCACCAGTGGGTCCTCCTTCCATCTCCCCGCCCGCCCCGGGATCAGCGTTAAACTATCTTCTAGACTAGAATTTCCGCCAAGGAGAGGGCATGGGGGGGGAAGGGGTCTGGGAAATCTGTGGGGGGGGGCAAAGGGAATGAGGGTTCCACCTGAGACCAGTCCTTAAACACTAGTCTGTAGTCCCTTGTTTCTTCCAGATCCTGCTGTCCACCTACCCTATTCCCACCCCATGTGGCTTTTGCTACCCATCCTTCCCTTTCTCCACCCAACCAGTCCGTACAGAATGTTGTGACCACTCTCCTGAAGTCCATGATTTGTGTGAAGAGATCCAACTGGGACTTCGTGTTGGACCACCTCTGCATGAGTGCCAGTTGTACTTGTTCTTTGATTTGTTCAACAATTTCCACCCCTTCTATCCTCACTTTATCCAAGGCCAAAACACGCATGTGCCCCCAAAGAGCCCACATCACCGCTCTCCTGCCCAACCAAAACATGTTCAACACCGAGCTTTCTCCCACCAAAGGCCAGTGGCCAACCAGGATGGCCCGCCATGACCATGGCCAGGGAATCTTTGTTACTATCTTCCGCCAAATACGGTACCACCATCGCCACGTAAATTGAGCTATTGGGCATTGCATGAAAATATGATCAATGGTCTCTGCCTTCTTGAGGGGGGGGAACATGTTTAGGCATCGCTGACACCACGACAGCGCCAGACCCCGCTGCTTCAGGTTGGTGTGGTCTATTAGTCAGTCATTAGTGGGCAAACAACGGTGCACTATCTGCCACTACAGGGAGGAGATTTTCGTAGGTTTCGACTTCTGGTCTTTGAACCATCGGATCGGCGTCAAGAGGGAGCGATACACATTGAGCTGCTTGGCCCAACGGTCTGTAACCACATCCCATAGATATCGTTTAGGCCTAAACATCTTGTAGGCGGATTTGACCGACAACCTATGGAGGGTTATATGATATGTTGTGCCCTCCCCCCTTCTCTGGGGGAGCGCCCAAGTCCATTCCACTGGGTCCAGGGCCAACTCCTGTACAACCCACTGTGGTTGATAAACCACTTTCTCCCCTCTCTCTTTCATGACCCGGATCCAATATACCAATGTCTTCCTTACCCATTCAAAAGGGGCTCTGCTTATTTCGAGGGTTTCCCTCCGTGTGATAGCATAGTGCTCCACTGGGACCATTTGTGGGTCTACCATATGGACCTGCCCGATTCGTGGCGGTTCCTCCTTGGTCGTCACCCAATCTCCCTCCTTAAGGGAGGGCCCTTGTTTGAGGATTCGATATTATGCTAGTGGGATGGTCTCAATGAGGTCGTCCAAGTGTTTCTCCACATGATGACAATGGCGCAAGGTATCTCGCAATTGGTCTGTTGTTTTCTAGTCTCGTCTCTCTTGATCCCAAAGGTCCCGTACTTTGACCACTCCCCGTTTGACCCAACTCTTTCACGACAGGGCAGAGCTCGATTTGGTGCAGCCCCTCCGGTCTGTCAATCAACGGTTCCCAAACAAAGGTTGACGATAAATTTCTTCCCAACGGTCAGAAGGGGGGTTTGTTCGGGAGCGGAAGCCGCCGCCACACGCCTAGCACAAATGACCAAAAGTTGTCCCTTGGCTGGTCCCCCCCTTCCTGTTTAATCCCCCTTCGTGAAATTTTGTGCGAAATTATCCAGGAACGGTCCTCCAACCAGGTCAAAGGATGCACCCCTCGAGGGGCGGCTGGGGCCATGCGGGTCAGATGCTATAGAGCCATTACGCACCATGGGCTGTGGGGTGAGAATATCGTTTTTTTCACCTATTGTAATCACAATGCTTGAATTTGTCTAGCAGGTTCTATGATCCCTAGACCCCCACGAGCTTTGGACTGAATAACTGAATCTCATGCTACCCTGTTGATAGCCTTGTTATTCTCACTATCCCTCCTGCAGAGGAAGGTCGCTGCCTTTGCTCCTTTACTCAGTGGTCAGAGCACCGACTTGTACCACAGGGCTGTAAAAGCGACGTTATTGATAACCAACGCTCGACCATAAAGGGAGGTGTACTTATTGTTCTAGTTAAGGAGTTTTTGCAGGGCGGGGGCGCTTATCCATTCGTCATTAGTTAGTGGGCACCCAGCTGCCGTCATGGACACCCCTATAATTCTTAGTGGGGTTTCTAATGGCATCCACGCAACTTGCGGCGAGTCTGGGGGGCGCCCCCCCTGATAGTGGGTCCACCACCCTTGTGTCTTGCCCCCCCAATTCACTTCCATGTTAGAGACCTTTGTGAACCTTTCCATCATTTTTTGAATTTCCTCCAAATTGTTGTATGTGACCTCTACCATGATTGTGAGACCGTCTGCGAAAAGAGACCTGGCGAACTGACCGTTCTAGCCTTAGAGGCGGTCTCTCTCTCTCTCTCTCTCTCTCTCTCTCTCTCTCTCTCTCTCTCTCTCTCTCTCTCTCTCTCTCTCTCTCTCTCTCTCTCTCTCTCCTCATACCTTCTAAGTCTAAGTCTACTCCTGAGTTCGCCTACGGGACTACTACGAGTATGAGGGATGGTTACGAGTTCTGATGGCATTGGAGACAGCGACATTGAGACTGTAGGTCGAGGACTACTTTGGAATCTGATTTCATCTTCCTCTGAAGATGTACCTTGACAGTGTGAGATCGAGATCTGAGACACTGTGAGACTTTGTGTTCGCGACATTTCGGATTTTTGCTATTTCTGACATTTCGAGATACTATCTTTGGAAACATTGAGTTCATGTCATCTTCCCTTCCTCCTCCCTTCGTCTCTCCTCCCTCCATTCATCCGTGTATGGGTATCGACCCTGGCCTTTCCTCCTATGTCCAAGGCCAGGGCTTTCGCACCACTGATGCATGTTTGTGAGTATTTCGTTGCAGTCTGAGTTAGGTCTGCGTCAGTCCATGTATCTCAAGTCTTCCGCTGTATTTGTATTAGCTCTGTATTATCTGGTCGGTTCTGGGAATCTGCGCCATACTTATGACTGTGTTTCACGAGTATGCAACACACACACACACACACACACACACACACACA